CTAAGAGAGATAGGAGAAGTACTTAATCGCGATTATAGGTATATAGTATAGGTACTTAAACGGTTATACACGATGTGAACTCCTAGCCGACTCCAATAGAAATGAGCAATCCCTTCCACTTTTCAATTTGTTCTACACGCAACCCGCCAACTCTCGCTTGTCGGGTTATACCACTCCCTGACACGTGTTTCTGGGTCTACCCGTCATCAGAAGGAGTTTGTAAGAAGACTCGAACCAAATCAAAACGCACCGATTACTCTGGCAATTACATAAAAATAACTATCAGAGTATGCAACTAGAGTCCTCTAGTGAGGAAAGATAAAGATACGATTAATTGCTATCGACGTATCTTCATCTTTCCTCAGTTTTAAATATCGTCTACAAGATATTATTAGGAATTATATACAGCCGCCTGGAATCGTTTTCGGAGAAGATGATTGGTGAATACCAATATGGCTTCAGACTAAAGAGGTCAACTATAGACCAAATACATATGTTAAGAGGTATACATGAAAAATGTGTTAAATATAATGTACCTATTTACAACTTGTATATCGATATCAAACAGGCGTTTGATGGAGTAGATCGACAATAGATGTTAAAGCAACTATCTATGTTAGGGATACCCAATAAGTTGATTAAACTTATACGAATGACTCTGGAGGGTTCCAAAGCTATGGTGAGAATAGATGGAGATATGACGCAGGCCTTTGATATTGAAAATGGAGTTAGACAAGGTGATGCCTTATCAACAACATTTTTTAATCTAGCTTTAGAAGCTGTTGTTAGAAAAGTGGATAAAAACGGCTGTATTAATACAAGATCAATGCAAATATGGGTGACTTTAATGCTAAGTTGGGATGTAAACTAGACGGGACCGAAGTAGCAATAGGTCCCTATGGATTCGGACAAAGAAATGAAAGAGGCGAAATGTTTTTGGGTTTCTTGGTACGAAATGGCCTCTTTGCAATGAATAGCTTTTTCAAAAAAAGTCCCCAAAGAAAATGGACCTGGGCAAGTCCAGATGGAGTCACCAAAAATGAAATTGATTTTGTCTTAACCAACAACAAAGACATGATCCATGATGTAACAGTTCTTAATAGCTGTTCAGTGGGAAGTGATCATAGAATGGTAAGAGCGAAGATCGTGCTAAATCTCCAAAAACAAAGATATAAAATGATAACAAAAACACACCCAATAGAATGGAATCCAATCGAAAACACCATGTCCTTCGAAGAGGAAATTCTGAGATGCCTAGAGACAACAAATATAGACGTTATGGATATCGAAACCTTAAATGATAACTTAATAAAAGCTATTAAGAACGCAGAGAAAAAGTGCAATACAAATTCTAGGAGAGATAAGGAGGAAAAGCTCAGTCAAGAAACAAAAAGACTTATGGAGGCACGAAGAGAACTTAAGAACAAAAACGATACGAATGCACGCGTACTACAACAACTTAATAAAGATATTAATAAAGCAGTGAGAAAGGACGTACGACAATATAACACAAAAAAGATTACAACGGTTATCGAGAAAAATAAAAGTTTAAAGGTGCTGAAGAGATGTCAAGCTCTAGGTAAGAAGAACATTGTTAAGCTCGCAGATCGAAATGGAAAAGTGGTAACAGATAAAGATAAGATAATTAAGGTAGTTGAAGAATTTTACACAGAATTATATAGAGAAAGGGGGAAGAAAGACAGCACCAAGTTGAGAAAAGTCCAGAATGTGGGTTCAGAGGATATCCCAGAAATAACAATCGAAGAAGTCTTAAAGTCATTAAATAGAATGAAAAACAATAAAGCAGCTGGTGATGATCAAATCGTTATTGAGGCAGTTAAAGCAGGAGGAAAGACAGTATTGAAAGCATTGACGCAATTATATAACTTATGCCTTTCAAACGAGGTTACACCATCTCAGTGGAATAAAGCTGTTATAGTAGTCATGCACAAAAAGGGAGATATAACAGAGCTAAAGAACTATAGACCTATTAGCTTGTTATCTCACGTTTATAAGTTGTTTATGAAGATAATAACTAATAGGTTGACATCAAAACTAGACTTCTATCAACCTTGCGAGCAAGCAGGATTTAGAGCTGGATACGGAACAAATGATCATTTGCAAACCATTAAGTCGTTGATTGAAAAAACCATTGAATATAATAGACCCCTGATACTTGTCTTTGTCGACTTTGAAAAAGTATTTGATACGGTCAATCAAAGTGAAATGCTCCAAGCTCTAACACAATGTAGAATAGATCACCGATACATATCTCTCATCAGATACATCTATCAACATGCTACAGCCTGTGTAAGACTTAATGAAGATACTGGAACTTTTCGTATTGAAAGAGGCGTTCGGCAAGGAGACAACATGTCTCCTAAATTATTTACAACTTTGCTAGAATACGCTTGTAAAACAATAGATTGGAACGAAAAGGGCATCAATGTAGATGGAACATTTTTAAATAACCTTAAATTTGCAGATGATATCGTTCTTATTGCAGACAGCTTTGATCAGAGTTGGTCTTAAAATAAATTTTTCAAAAACACAATTTATGACAAATTTAGTCCACAACCAAAACATCTCAGTAGAAGATAAAGATATTGAGCCAGTTGACTCCTATAAATACTTAGGCCATGAGATCAGAATAAGTCGAGACAACCAAACAATCGAACTGAAAAGAAGAATAAACCTCGCTTGGGCTGCATTTGGAAGGATGAAGGATATTTTTAGGTCTAAGATTCCAATGTGTCTGAAAAGAAAAGTATTTAATCAATGTATTTTGCCAGTGATGACCTACGGCGCAGAAACCCTAACGCTCACAAGAACAACAGTGAGTAAACTACAAGTTGCGGAAAGAGCAATGGAGAGAATTATGTTAGGGATTTCTCTACGTGATAGAACACCCAATGCTACTATACGCAAAAGATCAGGAGTAGCAGACGTTATTGAAAGGATAACAACACTAAAGTGGAACTGGGCAGGTTCTGTAGCGAGATCAGTTGATGACCGGTGGACAAAAAGAATTTTGGAATGGAGACCCGGAATACAAGCTTTCAGAAATAGAGGTCGACCCCCAACGAGATGGACAGATGACATAAAAAGAGTGACTACAAATTGGATTCAGATGGCACAAAATCGGACTAAGTGGAAAAGCATGCGAGAGGCCTATGTTCAGCAGTGGACGTTAGAGGCTAGTTGATGATGATGATGAATGCAAATATGCGCATATAAGGATGATGTTGCCATAATAAGCCGCAACAAAATTAAGCGAAAAAGTTATACAACTGAAACAAGAGGCTGCTACGTTTGGTTTATATATAAATGAAAGCAAAAGAAAATATATGGAGTGCACAAAATCGAATCAACATGAGAATCTGACGACAACCATACCTACAAATATGCCTCCACTTTTCTCTACCTAGGCTCAATAATAAATGACAACATCAGTCAAGAAATACAAGCACGGATTCTTAGCGGTAATAAGTGCTTTTATATACATCCTCACTAAGGGTTGCACAAGTACATGATGTAGGTCGTTCTTCAGTCTTACATGTATTACGTAAGAATAAATTTAAACCATACAAAATTAACTTAATGCAAGAATTAAGTGAAGATAACTTCGATCGTAGATTAGAGTTTACTGACGTAATGATGGATAAAATTGAAAATGATGAAAATTTCGTTAACAAAATACGTTTTCCGATGAAGCAACCTTTACACTTTGTGGAAGTGTAAATCTCCACAATGTAAGGTATTGGGGTGGCGTAAATACACACTGGATGCGTGAAAACCATACTCAAAGACCATTTTTTATAGAAGGAAATTTAACGTCAGATAGTTACGAAATGTTACTTAGAAATGAAATTGTACCTACACTGAGAAACTTGTTTGGGACAATTTTAATCAGATATGGTCTCAGCAAGATGGAGCTCCAGATCATTTTGGTATAAATGTTCGGCGTTATTTAGACGAGATATTTCCCGAACGACGTTTGGGACAATTTGAATCAGACATGGTTTCAGCAAGATGGAGCTCCAGCTCATTTTGGTGTAAATCTTCGGCGTTATTTGATGAGATATTTCCCAGACGATGGATTGGTAAACGAGGTAAAATTATGGCCTCTACGTTCACCTGATTTCAATCCTAAAGATTATTTTTATTAGAGATACTTGAAAAATTCAGTTTACAAAAATAAACCAGCAAATCTTGCAGAGCTAAGGCAACGAATTATAGATGAATCTCGAATAATTTCTAGACAATCATGGAGAAATATGTTAGACGCATTCTGCCATCGATTAGGGTACTGTCAACTCACAAATGGAGCACAATTTGAACACTTGATAAAGTAACCATTGTGTTAAAAAATGTTAATCTATCAATTGTTACGTTTTAATGTAGTTGAAAATAGTTAGTATTTAAAAATTTATTGAGACAATTAGGCGTTGCCAGACTTCTAAATAAATATGGAAAATTCATTATTTTTTATATTTGTCATAGTCTTGTTACACAATTGGGAGCCCAACATTTTTTTATGGGTGTTACAAGATGAGCAATTATGTAGATATTAGGGGATACCCTTTAAGACGTGGTAACGCTACGGCAACGGAATCAAACGAACGCAAAATCAAAGTATAATAGACTATTAATAAGACAACAATTTTTGGGGTTAGATTTTGTTTTTCTTTTAGATTATTTTGCCATTAGCACCTTACTTGTTTTCCGTTTTTTACGTATTTATACATATTTAACAATATGTATATTTAAGAAATAAATTATGAAATGGTGAAGAATATTTTATGTACCGAGTGTAAAACAACGTCGACTATTTTGCATCTTCAAAGAAATCTCAACTTAAACCGTCAACGTCGCTTTGATTGCAGACAAAATAGTCACAATTTTAAAACCAAAATAAAGAAAATTCTATAAAATTTGAAAACATAAGAACAAACATAGTTAAAATAAGTACGTCGCGTCTAAAACTGTCAGCCTAATTATTAAAAATAGGGCCCTTCTTCTTGTAAATATTTCACTAACGACACCGGCAACGGTAGTTTGTCCATATCGTTGATGATAACGTACTGTCGAATAACAAAGCGGGAGAGATACTTCAAAGTCGGTACTTTGTCGTACCTTGACACTGGTAGGGTTAGTCTTACGGGAAAGTTGGGGACGATGTCGCCCCTGGTTTTGGTGTAGCAGTAAACGCTGTGTTTGGATTTCGATACGGCGTCTTCCACTAGTTCCACTATACTGTTGTAGCCTAATTGGTCGAAAAGGCTGTAGCCGGATTTGCTGTATTCGATTCTGGAGTGTTGAATTCTTCCGATGTTGCGAAAACTCATCGTGAATAGATACCTAAGTAAGAAAAATATATGTTTAACAATATTTTTTTTTCCGTGGAATTTATGGCTTTGGCGAGAACCAATTAGCCAGACTATGTTAGATTGAATCAGTTTATGTGTTGATAATCTAATACAAAATATATATAAATAATATAATAAAAAAAATTATACAATTTAGGTCTATTGGACAATTTTTTAGACAATGGTGTGGTTTCACAGTAGAAGAATTATTTCGCGCAGCAGCCGACAGAGAAAGGTTTCAGGAAATTGTAAACATGATGACGGCCAACGTCTGAATACGGACACGGCACCCAAAGAAGAAGAAGAAGGACAATTTCTGAATATAATAAACAATATATGGGTAAGCATGGAATTTCCAAACTCATGGAAAGAATATATTGTAGTCCCAATTCTCAAACAACATAAACCTGCAGATTGTCCGGATTCATACAGAGGCATTTCGCTATCGTCATGTATCTTAAAAACTTAGAAAGAATGATTAAACAAAGATTAGCATTTTGGTTGGAAAAAAATTTTTTACTATCTACAACGCAATTTGGATTCAGGAAATCATGCTCAACAATGGAAAACTCATCACACTTGATACTTGATGTTTATAACTAATTTACTAATAATAAATCCGTCGTAGCTACATTTGTAGACGTAGAAAATGCATATGATAATGTTAATTTATTAATACTATATCACCAAATGAAGAAAATAGGAATCCCAGAGATACTATGCTGGAAAATTTATAAACTGTACAGTAATAAAGTTTTATATATTCAAATTGAAAACAAATTAGTGGGCCCCAGAATAACAAACACTGGGATACCCCAAGGAAGTATCCTAAGCCCAATATTATATACTATTTATACTTCGGATATAGGTAAAAGAATTGAAAAAGACTGTAAGACTTGTACACACTTCTAAATAGGTCTAACTGGTAAGCAGGTTTTGTATGTTTTCAATAAAATTGATAGTGTGTAAAATAATTTATTAAATTAAGCTGAGTATACTTTCGACATAATAAACGTCATCATCAGAGCTATCGTCAATTAGGCAATAAATACTTCATAGAAGGAAAATTGTGGACAAACGACATATTAAAAAACAAAGATCGGGCTCTGTAGGCCACAGATATTGGGTCTAGGGTCTAACCCTTATACATATGTATAATTCACATCAAAAATTTTTTATAAAACATGGTTACCACATACAGTAACGACCACAGCTGTTTTTGACTTACATTTTTGAAGTAAAATAACATATGTATAAGGGTTAGACCCAAGATCTGTAGCCTACAGAGCCCGATCTTTGTTTTTTAATATGTCGTTTGTCCACAATTTTCCTTCTATGAAGTATTTATTGCCTAATTGACGATAGCTCTGATGATGACATTTATTATGTCGAAAGTATACTCAGCTTAATTTAATAAATTATTTTACACACTATCAATTTTATTGAAAACATACAAAACCTGCTTACCAGTTAGACCTATAGCTAAAAGCATAGTATATCGTAACCAAGGTAAAGTACTACAGTTTGCAGATGACATATGTAGTTACGTAGACCAAGAGGAGGTAGAAAATGGTTGCAACATGATAAATGAAGTATACAATTATTTACTTGATGACTTGTATCAGTTAAATTTAACAATATCTGTAAAAAACACAAGTTTGTATATTTTCCAGAAAACAAAAACTTCCAAAATTAGTAAAAATGCAAAACTTACAGTTTAATGTTCAACCTAAAGTTAAGTATTTAGGAATGATGCTAGATAGAAAATGAGCTGGAAAGATCATATTGAATATGTTGTGACAAGAGCTGAAAAAGGGTATAATGCATTACGAGCAGTAAGTCACATAACTTGGGGAGCAGATGCTAATATTTCATTAATAATGTACAGATCATATATAAGATCAATTTATACTACGGATGCATATTTTACAACCAAGCAGATAAAACTCACCTAAAAAAAGTAGAAGTGTTATCAAATAAATGCCTTCGATTATGTATCGGAGCTCTAATAAGCACCCCAACATCAAATTTAAGTACAGAGTGCAATGAACCACCACTACATTTAAGAAGAAAAACTGTATGCGAAAAGTTTATAATTAAAACCATTGCTAAAGAGAGTTTAATAGTAGATAAAAACTTTTTATACGTGATCTAACGAGTGAATACTGGCAGAAAAAACCTACTTTACTATTTGTTGAAACCTGCAACAACTTGCGCCAATTTAAAAATAAATTATACACATCAAGAATATCATCCATATTTCAAATATATCTAGATAGTATTCCTAATATACTGCCAATTTACATGAGAGATTATTCGAGTTTCCCAGCGAATCTAAGGAACTCTATGTTTAATATAGATATAGAATTACTATGCCCAAAATATTACCAAATTTATACAGATGCCTCAAAAATTAACTCTAAAGTTGCTGCTGCTATATGGGATCCTAAAACACAATACAGAGAAGGAATAAGTCTAGATACAAATATCACGGTATTTACAGGAGAACTAATAGCAATATTAAGAGCAAAGCAGTACATAGCAACTATCACCAATAATGATAGATTCGTGATACTTTCAGATAGTAAAAGTGCTCTAACTAAATTGGAGAAGTGGACAGAACATTACAATCATATCATTATAGAAATAATTAAAAACTTTATTGGACTCAAATCCAAAGGTAAAGAAATATCAGGTCTGTTATACCTGCGTGCCCCTTTACCCATAGATATATGACGACTTTATTCTTGATGTGTATCTCATTATGTAAATACAGGATATTTGCTTCAATATGATTAACTGATCTATTTATGTTTACTTTTTTAAGTTTATCTACTGCACTTTTGCTGTCCGTACATTTATTATGAATTTGTCGTGGTTAGAGCCGGGTATGTATTTCACAGCTTGCACTATTGCTGTTAATTCTGCAGTGTATATGAAAGCTTCCTTTGGTAAAATAAATTTTTTTGTCAGTATTTTCTTCCAAATGGTAAAAGGCACAGCTGGTATATTCTTTTAACTTTGAATCCATCAGTGAATATAGAATCATAGTTTGGCCAGTATATGTTTTTTGTTTCGTTAAACTTTGTTTTATTGATACTTGCTACTTCTTGACTTTCAAAATAGTAGGTTCTAATTTCATGTGAAAAAATTTGTTCAGGCGAGTAAATTAGAACCGGGGGGAGTTGGTTGGAATAAAGTATATCTGTAATGTCCGGTATTTCTGAGAAAGTTTCTACTATGAGGGGGTTTTCTTGAAGTGCCAGTATTTATGGGTCAAAACTTAAACTGTTAGTGATTGTATACTATTGAGGTAAGAAGATTTTTTGGAAATGGTTTTTATCATAAATTTTCTGCTCAATAGATGTCTTCTTAGTTTAAGAGGAGGTTCCACGGCTTAAGCTTGTATAATATTTATGGGTGTTGACTTAAGATATCCCAGGCAAACTCTTAAGCATTTATTTTGTTGTATCCCGATTTTATTTAGATGTGTATCTGCTGCTGTTCCATAGAGTTGACTTCCATAATCCATTATTGATCGTACCATTGTTTTGTAAAATAGTAAAGCCGTATTTGGATCTGCTCCCCACTTTGCCCTACAAAACGCCCTTAAAATATTTATAGAATTACTTGTTTTTTTTTTGATAATTTGGTGGATACAGTCCTTCCATAATAGTTTTCTATCTAGATGCAGGCCAAGATATTTTACAGAGTTGCTAATACGGAGTTTATATTTTATTATTGTTAATGGTCTTTGATAGTTGTTTCTGTTTCTAGAGAAAATACATATATTGGTTTTGGACTCGGATATGGAAAGTCCCATGTTATCTAGGCATTTTTGGATTTCTATAAATTCAGTGTTGATATTTTCTATACATTTGTCCTCTGATTTTTTACTGGTGTAAATAAAAACATCATCGGCGTATTGAATAATTTTGGACTTAAGTGATATAACATTTTCTATGTCCATTGTGTACAGGCTGTAGAGGATTGGGCTCAAGATACTACCTTGTGGTAATCCAGGTCTACATATTCTTGATTCCGAAACTTCTTTATTTATCTTTAAGGACACTGATCGATTAGAGTAAGCTGATTTTATGAAGTTGGCAAAGGAGGTTGGTAGACCTATATTGATAAGCTTCTCTTCTAGTATATTTATTTGAACATTATCATATGCTGAAGTTATATCCAAAAATGTAGCCAAAGTGCTGTATTTGTGTGTGAATCCTAGATATATGTCATTTACTAGTATCGTTAGGGGTTCTAAGGAAGATCTTCCCTTTCTAAAAGCATATTGTGAGTCAGGTAATATTTTTTTCATTTTCTTGCCAATATTCAAGCCTGTTCTTTATCGTTCTTTCCATGGTTTTAAAAAAACACGATGATAAAGCTATGGGTCTATATGAATCTGCATTTCCAGGTTTTTTGATAGGTACTACGATGTATTCTTTCCACATTTGTGGAAAAGGAGTCTTATTTATTAAAACATTTGGTATTATGGAAGCTTCCTTTGGTAGAATAAATTTTTTGTCAGTATTTTCTTCCAAATGGTAAAAGGCACAGCTGGTATATTCTTTTGACTTTGATCCATCAGTGAATATAGAATCATAGTTTGGCCAGTATTTGTTTTTTGTTTCGTTAAACTTTGTTTGATTGATACTTGCTACTTCTTGACTTTCAAAATAGTAGGAGAACCGGGGGGGTGGGTTTTCTTGAAGTGCCAGTATCTATGGGTCAAAACTTGAACTGTTAGTGATTGTATACTATTGAGGTAAGAAGTTTTCTTGGAAATGGTTTTTATCATAAATTTTCTGCTCAATAGTTGTCTGCTTAGTTTAAGAGGAGGTTCCACGGCTTCAGCTTGTATAATATTTATGGGTGTTGACTTAAGATATCCCAGGCAAACTCTTAAGCATTTATTTTGTTGTATCCCGATTTTATTTAGATGTGTATCTGCTGCTGTTCCATAGAGTTGACTT